CCTTGGTCTGCAGGCCGACACTCTTACCACTGAGCCTAACCAGCCAGGGCTAAAAGTACACATTTTATTAACAAAACTATATATAAATTTGTATTTGCCTTAAATATAAAACCTATCATTTGATCAACATCTTCAAATTTTATTATTCTAATGCAAAATTTGATTCTTGACCGTCCTCTACAGTTGAAATTGACATATATAAGTGCTTAGGTCCTGGAGGGTGTGACTCGGTTGGTTGGAGCATTGTCCTGTACACTGAAAGGTGGCAGGTTTGATTCCCCATCAGGGCACATAACCAGGTTTCAGGTTCAGTCCTGGTTAGGATGCATATGGGAGGCAACTGATTGATGTTTCTCTCTCTTTTTCTCCCCTTTCTCTCTCTAAAATCAATTAAAATATTTTACAGATAAAATAAAAATAACTGGTAAGCATCAATATGTTGTCCACATGTCATATCCTCATTTCTGACGTTTTTTCATTTTACACAGAAAATCAATTGCTGAAATAATTTTATCTTTAAATCAAGACAGTTATCCTTTGAACACTTCATTACATTGGAGTCAAACAGACCAGTGTTGAAATCTCAGCTCAGTTACTCACTAGCCATATGGTCATGCTCAGCTTCTTCATTTATAGAATGAAGATAATAAAATACTATCTATTTCACAGAGCTACTGTGAAGAATAAATTTGATATTTAAAAAAATTTTTTTAATTTCTTTTCTTTATTGATTTTAGAGAAAGAAGAAGGGAGAGAGAGAGAGATATTGAAACGTCAATGAGAGAGAACATCGACTGGCCACCTCATGCATACCCCACACTGGGGATTTGGCCCACAACCAGGGCATGTGCCCTGATTGGGAATCGAACCAGTGACCTGTTGGTGCATGGGTCGGTGCTGAACCAATGAGCCACACCAGCTGGGCTAAATTCGATATTTTAAGCACTGGTACATACTAAACATTCAGTAGACAGGCAGTTGTTGTCTCTAAAATATAATATTTAGCCCTAATCCAGCAATGGTTATACCACTGGTATTCCAACAGATGTGTCTAACAAAGAATACAAAAAATACTGGTGTAACTCAAAAAAACACAACTGAGTGACCCGTGAATCCATAAAAATTCCAGAAGAAAATGTAGGCAACAAAATTTCGGACATCATACGAAGCAGAATTTTCACTGATACATCACCTAAGGCAACAGAAACAAAGGAAAAAATGAACACATGGGACTACATCAAACTAAAAAGCTTCTGCACAGCAAAAAAAAAAAAACAAAAAAAAAAACAACCATCAAAATAGAAAGGGAACCCACTGTATGGGACAACATCATTGCCAATGATGTATCAGATAAGGGGTTAATCTCCAATATATATAGAGTGCTCATACAACTCAACAAAAGGAAGACAAAGAACCCAATTAAAAAATGGGCAGAGGAGCTGAATAGACACCTCTCCAAACAGGACATACAAATGGCCAAAAGACATATAAAGAAATGCTCAACATCACTAATCATCAGAGAGATCCAAATTAAAACAACAATGAGGTATCACCTCACACCTGTCAGAATGGCCGCCATCAACAAATCATCAAACAACAAGTGTTGGCGAGGGTGTGGAGAAAAGGGGACTCTAATACACTGCTGGTGGGAATGCAGACTGGTGCAGCCACTATGGAAAACAATATGGTGTTACCTCAAAAAATTAAAAATTGAACTTCCATTTGACCCAGTGATCCCGCTTCTAGGAATATACCCTAAGAAGCCTGAAACACCAATCAGGAAGAATATATGTACCCCCATGTTCATAGCTGCACTATTTACAATAGCTAAGATCTGGAAACAGCCCAAGTGTCCATCAGTAGATGAATGGATAAAAAAGCAGTGGTACATATACACAATGGAGTACTATGCAGAGGTAAGAAAGAAAGTTCTCTTTCTTATGATGACATGGAGGGACCTGGAAAGTATTATCCTAAGTGAAATAAGCCAAGCAGAAAAAGACAAATGCCACATGATCTCACTTATATACGGAATATAATGAACATAACAGTCTGAGGAATACGGTAGACCCAGAAACATGGAAGTAGGGCACAGACTGACACCCCTCAGAAGAGGGGGTGGGGGGTGGGGTGGGAAGAGATAAACCACAGAACTTACATGCATGTATGCATGACCAACGGACATGGACAACTAAGCCGGGGACGGGGCGGGGGTGGCGTGGGGAGGGGGGTGCAAAGGAGAAATATCTGTAACAAAAAATTAATAATAATAATAATAATAAAACAAAAAAAACCCACACAATTGATATCTACTACCTCATTCTGAGATTTTTCTATTGGTGGAACTCTAAGTGTAGGCACAAAGAGTTAGGAAACTATCCTCCATGACTTTAATATCACTGTTTTAAATATTAAAGTTATTGAACCTTGTATTCATTCCAAAATCCAATTATTAATAGTCAAAATGTTAAATGTGTTAAAATGCCAAATATAAATTTTCTATTTTCATTAAAACAGACATTTCATTCACCAAAATATTTTCTATACAGCCAGCTCTCTTACCAATAAATGCTTAATTAAAATCATGTATCATTTTCAAATCTTTATAAAGATTAAAATCTATAAAAACATTTTTCCTTTTATAATTTATTCCTAATTTGGGGTTTATTAGTTTTTTTTTTTAATAATTTTTTTTAATTGATTTTAGAGAGAAAGGAAAGGAGAGGGACAGAGATAGAAACACTGATGAGAGAGAACATCGATTGGCTGCCTCCTGCATGCCCCACACTGGAAATTTGGCCCACAATCTGGGCATGTGCCCTGACTGGGAATTAAACTGGTGACCTCTTAGTGCATGGGTTGAAACTCAACCACTGAGCAACACCGGTCGGGCTATTAGTTTTTAAAATCAGAAAGACAGCCCTGGCTGGTTTGGCTCAGTGGTTAGAGCATTGGCCAGCGGTCCAGAGAGATCCAGGTTCGGTTCCCGCTAAGGGCATGTACCTCGGTTGCAGTTTGTCCCCGGCCCTGGTTGGGTCGTGTGGGTGGCAGCCACTTGATGTGTCCCTTTCACGTCGATGTTTCTCTCTCTCTCTCTCTCTCTCTGTTCCTCTCTCTCCCTCCTCTCTCTCTGTTCCTCTCTCTCCCTCCCACTCTATCTGAACAAAAAATGGAAAAAATTGTCCTCGGGTGAGGATAAAAAATAGTAATAATAATAAAATGAAATCAGAAAGACAATACCCTTGTCATCATTGTCACTGTATGAAGAGAATTCTTTAACATTATCGCCAAGGCCAGATGTGCTCAGGGCTCAAAGCTGCTCTTCTACTAGGTCAGGAAGGTCTCAGTCCTGTCTGCTGGTAAAAGTTCCTATGTTTTATTGTTGTTCAACTTGACTATGTAGCTCAGCATTTTAGAACAGTCCATAAGTATGAAATAAAAATACTGCAATAGCCACAGATTCATTCATTACAAATATAGTAACAATTAGAGGCCTACCATGTGCTAGGCACTGTTTTAGGCATCCTTTCTCAGAGAGGGGAACAAAAATTAAACAAATAAACATACTAATATGAAGTATGTTAGAGGATGATACTTTTGTGAAGAAAAATAGAATAAGGAAGAGAAAGAGTCACAGAAGAGATGCTGCAATTATTTGTAATGTATTCAAGGAAAGCTTCTCTCTGACAAGTTATTTCAACAGAGATCTAACAGAGGGGAAAATAGCAATCCGTGTGGATATGAGGGGAGGAAGCATTCTAGAAGAGGATGCAAAGGCCAAGAAGCAGAAGCATATTTGAAGTAGTCCAGGAAAAGCAAGGTGATTTCCATGGTTAGAGAAAGAGTGAGTGGGAATGGGGGTGGGAGAAGGTGAAGGTTGGGGGGTTAGGATGGTGGGGCAGGTAACAGATGAAGTTAACAAGGCAGGACAGGGTTTATATCTCATAGGATCTCATAGGCTATGTTAAGGCCTTTGGATCTTACTTTGAGTTATAAGGGAAGCCCTTAAAGTACACTGGATAGAGAAATAGTATAATCTGAGTTAAGTTTAAAAATTATGATTATTGTGTGAAAAATAAGCTACAAAGAACAAAAGTAGAAGAAGCAGGGAAACTAAAGGCACAGATGACAGATTCATGTCAAATGTAAATGATCAGCCACAGGAGAAATAAAATTTCCTGGACTTAATTAATTAACATGGTGACCTAGACCTTCTATTCCCTGTGACAAGATTGCAAAAGATGTTAGCACCTGTTACACGTCAAACACAACAAATTTGTTTGCCAACAAATTAGTCAGACCTCAGGAAAAAGATAATTATTTGCATAATAAATGACACTTCATTTACAGAAGTCTTTCATAATGTATATTAATCCTTAAAGCTTTAGATATGTTTCCCCAAATCTGTCAGATTCAGGAAAGTCCAAACTACAAAGATAGGAATGAATTATTCCACTTCCAGGAATGTTAGACTAGCACTAACTTCTTCTACTAAGGATTAACTAGAAAAACTTGACAAAAAATAATTAAAAACAAAAATTAAAAAATATATATATTTGTTTGAAGGTACTAGGATCATTTAAGATTTCACAGTCTATGTTAGGTCCTAACAACAAAGTAATGATTTATAGTTCAGGATCTAAGAGCAGCTCTTTGGAGTAAATTCAGCCTTAGGAGGCATTCTTGACTTCCTCCTTAACAAAAGTAGATATTCAAATGGCCAATTTTTTTTAAAGCTAAAGGTAATCCATCTTATTAGCAATTAAGAATATAAATATTCAAACCATAATAAAATACCACTGGACAGTCACCAAAATGACTAAAACTAAAAAGACATTACTAAATTCTGGTCATGACGTGAAACAAGCACAATTTTCATACACTGGTTGTGTGCGTAAAAGGTGCCACTACATTAAAATTATATTTTACATATATATATATAAAACTTTAATAGATGGTAAAAATGACCCTAATTCTTCACCTTTCACTAAAGACATTACCTCTGAAATGACTCAATAGCATCTCCCATCAATAATTAGAATCTGTTTCGCTACTCCTTGAATCTGGCCTGTTCTCTTGACTTACTTTGGCCAACAGAATGTGATGAAAATAGCACGTGTGCCAATTCTGCACCTAGGCCTCAAGAAGCCTGTGTCGTTTCATGCTCTCGCTAAACCAAGTGAACAAGCCAAGGCTGCCCTGCAAAATGATAAGAAATATGAAGCCAGTCACCCCAGTGTCACAGTGAATACAGCCATCAACCTGATGTATGAGATGAGAGACATGTATAGCACAAGATGACAATATGCTATACTACCTAGCTTCCATTAAAACTTTCTCCTTTAAAAAAGGTACCACTATAAAACAAATGTTGAAAAATCATGATTCATAACTCATATTTGTCCACTTCATATTCTAATGCTGCAGGTTTGCAATCTGTAACACAAAGCATAAAAGAGGGCTACAGGTTGATTCAGTTAAGAGAATACTTTTCTTTAAAACTGTAAACTCATTTGCCCTGGACGCTGTGGCTCACTTGGTAAAACATCATCATCCCATGTACCAAAAGATTGCCAGTTCAATTCCTGGTCAGGGTACACACACAGGTTGTGGGCACAATCCCTGGCAGGGGTACGTGTAGAAGGCAACTGATGGATGTTTCTCTCTCACAAAGATGTTTCTCTCTCTCTCTCTCCCTCTCCCTTCTTCTCTCTCTAAGGGTCAATGAAAAAACACATGAATAAAACTATAAACTCATTAAATAACAAAAAAGAAAAAGTTCAGCTTGAATTAGCACATAAGAACTTCAATTAAATTTAGAATGTACCAGTTGGCTGATGTTAGTACTGGATATACTGTAAGACTATTATAAATGAAACTTTAATTTTCCTATGAATCTACAACTGAAATGGGATACAAGTTAGAAGAATTATATTTTGAAAGAACATTACAAATCAAACAAAATGCAACTTTAAAATACAAGCTAAAATGTTGAGATCTGTGGCATATTTAATTCTCCAAATATAGACATAATATTTTTTTATCCCACACACCCCTCTTACAATGTGAATTTAACATTTCTCCTCTAGAGAGGTGGGGTCAATATCCCTCCCCCTTGAACCTGGCAGACCTTTGTGATTGCTTCACGCAACAGAAAACAACAAAAATTACGCTGTGTGACTTCTGAGGCCAGGTCATAAAACTCATGCACTTCTATCTCAGGATGCTCACTCTTAGATTTTAGCTGCCATTGGCATTAGGACTAGGTGGACATTATTAGTTAAAGCCTAAAGGGCATTGAGGATAGTGTTAGTGAAAGTCTAAAAAGCCCAGGAAGGGGCTGTTGTAAGGATTTAAAAGAAAGAAAATGTGATTGGAAGCTGCAGGAAAAGGGATCCTCATTTTATTTTGGAAGGACATTTGGAAAAACTGATACTGGCAGAAAAATTTAAAATAGAAATGTTCCTAATGAAGTCATTGACTGAAAGTGCCACTGGGCTTCTTCTGGCTATATAAGATAACATATGAGAGGAAACAGATGAGCTAAAGAATGAACTGTTAAATCAAATCCCAAGAACCAAGGATTTGCTGGGTTAAACAATAAAACAATGTGAAGTAACCAGCACTCCCGACAACAAAATGATTCTCAAATAATAAAATGGCTGCCAGGTAAAGATAAAACCCAGGGATCTTAAAAACATATGTTAAAACTTTAGAAAGATCTAATACAGAGTTTCATAGAAGTGATCAGATTGACAAAAGGTCTTATAAAATATATTAGTTTTTAACTGCTACATAAGCATTTACCACAAACTTAGTGCCTTAAAACAATATCGAATCATTAGTTCATAGCTCTGCAGGTGGGAAGGCCAGGCAGGCTTGGCTGGCCTCTCTGCTCTGGGACTCACAGGGCTGTAATCAGGTGTCAGTCAGGCTGGGTTCTTCCGTGGAAGCTCTGGGGAAGAGCTGCTTCAAAGCGGTTGGTAGCAGCTTCTAATTCTTGCCGCTGATGGTCTGTTTCCTTGCCATCAACATTGAGCCACTCTCTGTTCCTAGAGGTTGCCCTCATTCTTTCTCAGCAATTTCTCCATCTTCAAACCAGCAACATATGCAGTCCTTTGCACACTTTGAATCTTTAACTTTTTCTTCTGCTACCAGCCAGAGAAAACTTTTTGCTTGTAAAGAACACACCTGATTGAGTCAGGCTCATCTAGATACTCTCCATAGTTTAAGCCAACTGACTTGGGATTTTAATTTTATTTCTTTAAGATAATTATCTGTTTAAACAAAAATAAAGATATTGTGTGGTGTTTATAAAAGATGTAATAAAAATGTATGAAAACAACAGCAAAAGGCCAGAAGGGGAGAAATGGAATATATTATTATAAAGTTCTTATTAGTGCTTGGAACCTGAGACAAAAGGAAAAATGGGTGCCTCTAATTCACATGTTTTATGTAAACCTGAATGGTTAGTATTTTCCAGAACATACATTGAAAACTTAAAACTCACATTTTAAGTTTAAATATTTATAACAACAGAATTTATTATACTTTTACTTTCCTGGCTTTAATAAAAGCAAATTCATCAATAATGTTTTTAAAATCTACCTCTTTGCTTATATTATTTTCAACTGAGGTAAATGCCACATTAAACAATTTCTCTTGACCAAGTGACGACTGTAATTTCAAATTAGCTTCAGTTTACTGAAACTTCTTTCACAAGACACCACTGAGGTATTATCTTTTAAAGTTCTCAAGGTCACTTACACATTTGGATAAAATTGTAGCAAGCAAATTTCATAAACTGCTTTTAGAAGGTCCACACATCATGCTGATTTTACATTGCAATTATTGATACTTCATGCTGGTAAAACTATTACAGATGAAATTTCTACAGGGCTTAGTCTAAATATTTAAGAATCAAGTCATAACTGTTTTTGGCAAGTAGATGTATTTCTTTCTTTTTTTAAATTCTCTTAGCATTTATTCTTTAAAAAGAAATTTTTTTAATTAATTTATTTTTGTTACAGATGTTTCTTTTTCCCCCTAGCAGACACCCTCTACCCTACCCAACCCCTCCCCCCTCCGCCAAGTATTGTTGTCTATGTCCATTGGTTATGCATACATGCATATAAATTCTTTGGTTTATCTCATCCCGGGAGAAGGAGGGGAGCAGTAGATGTATTTCTAAAATTAACTTTAAGGATTAAAAATTTGAAGATACTTTATTTAATTTTTCATATCTTCATTACAAATGTTAAATTAAGATGGCTAAAATCTCCCTAATTTCTATTTTCTATACACTTTTCCCATAATTAAAACTTTTATCTGGTGACTCATACATTTTCAGTTTCTTAACTTTTTAAACTTCATTTCCTTTTTATATTAAATTTATTGAAGTGACTTTGGTTAATAAAACCATACAGGTTTCAAGTGCCCAACTCTGTAGCACAACATCTGCATACTGCATCATGCACTCACCATCCAAAGTCGTCTCTTTCCACCACCATTTATCCCAGCTTTGCGCTCTTCCACCTGACCCAACACTCCTTTCCGCCTGGGAATCACCATAAGGACACGGCCACATGTTGTCTGTGTCTGCTTTTCTTTTTTTGCTTAATCCCTTCACCTTTTTCACCCAGCCCCCGACTCTCCTCCACTTTGACAGTTGTCAGTTGTTCTATCTATGAGTCTGTTTCTATTTTGTCTAGTTTTTGTTTCTAGTTTATTTTGTTCATTATATTACATATATAAATAAAATCATATGGTATTTCTTTCTCTGACTAGTTTATTTCACTTAGTATAATACTCTCCAGGTCCATCCATGCTGTTCCAAATGGTAAGATCTTCTTTTCTATGGCTGAATAGTATTCCATTGTGTATATATACCACAGCTTTATTTATTTATTTATTTATTTATTTATTTATTTATTTTTAATCCTTACCCGAGGACATTTTTGCATTTTTTGTTCAGACAGAGCAGGGGGGAGAGAGAGGAAGAGAGAGAGAGAGAAACATCGATGTGAAGGGACACATCGAGTAGTTGCCACCCGCACGACCAACCAGGGCCGGGGACAAACTGCAACCGAGGCACGTGCCTTTAGCGGGAACCGAACCCGGGTCTCTCTGTACCGCAGACCGACGCTCTAACCGCTGAGCCAAACCGGCCAGGGCCCACAGCTTTTTTTATACACTCATTTACTGATAGGCACTTGGGCTGCTTCCAAATCTTAGCTATTGCAAATAATGTTGCAATGAATATAAGGGTGCATATATTCTTTCAAATTGGTATTTCAGGGTTCTTTGGACATATTCCCAAAGTGGAATTGCTGGGTTATAAAGCAGATCCATATTTAATTTTTGAGGTAACTCCATATTGTTTTCCACAGTGGCTGAACCAGTCTGCACTCCCACCAGCAGTGCACAAGGATTCCCTTTTCTACACTTCCTTGACAACACTTGTTTATTGCTTTATTGATGACAGCCATCTGACAAGTGTAAGGTGATATTTCATTGTGGTTTTAATTTGCATTTCTCTGATGATTAGTGACTTTGAGCATATTTTCATATATCTATTGGCCATCTGTATGCCATCTTTGTAGAAGTGTCTAGACAGGTTTTTCTGGCCATTAAATTCATCTGTTCCAGTGTGTCATTTAAGGTCACTGTTTCCTTGTTGATATTCTGTCTGGAAGATCTATCCACTGATGTCAATGGGGTGTTAAAATTCCCTACTATGATTGTATTACTGTTGATCTCTCCCTTTATATCCACGAAGATTTGCTTTATATACTTAGGTACTTTTATGTTAGGTGCATAAATGTTTACAGGGTTATATCCTCTTATTGGATTGATTCCTTTAGCATTATGTAATGTTCTTATTTGTCTCTGGTTACAGCCTTTGTTTTGAAGTCAATTTTGTGTGATATAAGTATTACTAACCCAGCTTTATGCTTGTTTGTTTCTATTTGGAATATTTTTTCCATCCCTTCATTTTGTTTCTTTTGTTCTGAGGTGAGTCTCTTGTAGATAGCATATATATGGGTCATATTTTCATATTAATTCAGCTATCCTATGTCTTTTGGTTGGAGCATTTTATCTATTTACATTTAAAATTATTGATAGATACATATTTTTTGCCATTTTATTCTTTATACTTATATTCTCTCTAAATCTTTTATATTTCTTTCAATACTGGTTTGGTGGTAACAAGCTCCTTTAGCTTTTTTTTTTTTCCCTTAGTCTAGGAATCTCTTTATTTTGCCTTCATAGCTTTGCTGGGTAAAGTAGTCTTGCTTGTAGATCCTTGCTTTTCATTACTTTGGATATTTCATGCCAATCCCTTTTAGCCTGAAAGTTTCTGTTGCGCAATCAGCTGACAGCCTTATGGAGACTTCCTTGTAGGTAATTACCTTTGTCTTGCTGCTTTTAAGGTTCTCTCTTTATCTTTACCCTTTGCAACTTAATTATGATGTGTCTTGGTGTGGGCCTCTTTGGGTGCATCTTGTTTTGGGACACTCTGTGCTTCCTGGACTTGTTTGTCTTTGTCCTTCCCCAAGTTAAGGAAGTTTTCCACCACTATTTCTTCAAACAGTTCTCAATCCCTTGTTCTCTCTCCTCTTTCTGGTACCTCTATGATGTTTGATGCTGTCCCAATGGTCCGTTAGGCTTTCCTAATTTTTAAAAATTTTTTTTTGTTTTTGTTTCTATGGTTGGGTGTTTTCTGTTATATTGTCCTCTAACTCACTGATTCAATACTCTACTTAATCTAGCCTACTCAACAGGAGTATATTCCTTCTAGTATAGTCATTTCAGATATTATATTCTTAATTTCTGACTGCTTCTTTTTTATTGTTTCTATGTCCTTTTTAATGCTTACTATTATCTTTGCTTAAATTCTAACTGAGATCATCCATTCTATCCCTAAGGTCCTTGAGCATCCTTATAACCATTGTTTTAAACTCTGCATCTGGTATCTTTGGCACAATCTTCCAGATCACCTGAGCTAGGTGCTCCAGGAATATCTCTTGTGTAGATTATGTATGCCCTCCTGTTGTAGTTGAGTCTTGGATGCTGTTGGTGGAGATAATCCTCAGGCTGGCTGACTATAAGGATAGACCTCAAACACCACCTATGAGTCACTGTAAAGGGGCTGCCCACTGAGGTGGAGTGGTTCCCAGCAGTGACTTGTGCCTGTCTGAATCCTTCTTTGGGTGTGCCACTTGTGTGGCTAGTTGGGTAGAGCTTTGGTATGGTCTGAAGCCCACCACTGGTTGAGTTGGTTCTCATCCAATTGGTGGGGTTCCAGTGCAGGTCTAGGTCAGACACTGCATGTAACTATCCTTGGGCTAGTGATCTGGAGCTACATTATTCACTGTTTGTGGCTGTGTCTAATGTGCCTGGGTGTGCATGGGAGAGGCTAAGCTGTATACAAGGGTCAGCTTTCGCCAGCTCTGAGCTGGGGGCAGATCAATAAAAGGTCCATGGCTCCTTGAGGTCCATCTCACCTGAGGTTGCCTAGTTTTTCTCCAGAGCCTTCTGAAGAAAAACTATAGAGTGGTCCCAGGCTGGCCATGACCATAGACCCTTCCACAGGCATGAGCTAGGTAGGGCAGGTCAATGGGGTCAGGAGGATGGGGCTAGTGGGTCTTCTGCTTGGGAACAGCATGGCCATGTACTCAGTGGGGGTAAAGTGGCCCCTACTCCATAACCATACAACTCAGTCTCTGCAAGAATCTCCAACTCTAGCTCCCTTGGCAGGTGTGCACCCCAAGTTCAGGTTGAATGTAGCCAGCTAGCCCCACTAAAGGAGAAAGCTCAGCAAGGCAGAGCCACTGGGACTCAGGAGGACAGATCAAAAGAGTCTCCCACTGGAATTTATGCCAATTGAGCCTGCAGGATGACAGCAAGACTGGCCACTGTTCCAAAGCCACACAGCTCAATCACTGAGTGTCTAGAAAGAGCTTTTCCAGAAAAAGAACGCACTAAAGGTCCCTGTTGAATGCAGCCAACAAACCTTTCTGCAGGACCTAAACTTGGCAGGATGGTGTTACCAAAAGTTGGAGAACCAGGTTAGTGCAGTCCTAGGCTGATGCTGTAAGAATAGGAGTGCTCAACCCTGGGAATATGATGCCTGAGGGCAGTGTAAAATAGGGACTCAGCACAGGGACCTTGGTAGCTGACCCTCCACATCTCTCCTAAGGGCCATGCCACCCAGATCTTCTATTTATGATTCCCATATGCCCTGAGTCATTATCCCTCTACCAGAGCCCCAGATGAGTGTCTGAGAGCAAGATCTTGTGTGTTGACCCTTCAGAGTACCTGAATTTCTAGCAGACTCCCCCCTCTTCCAAGTGGATAGAGTCTCTACTGTTTTTCACCACCAGATGCTATGCAGGCTCCTCTTCCAGGCTCTGGTGCTCTGAGTTGGTGATCCCAGTGTGGGGGTGAGGATTATAAAAATGATTTCCTATCATTAATGTTCCAACAGAAAATGCTGACAAATTCAGTCTTTTACTATTTGTGTTCGAGTGTGCCATTTCCTCAAAAATGTTGACAGTCCCTTTTCTTTGATTTTATATTTCTAAATATAAAAACTTTTCTTTAAATGTTCAAAATATTAAATATATTCTAGTGCCCCTAAAACTGACATAATCTCTAAAGATGTTGTTGAATGACTAGCTCAAAGTCATTCAAAAAGTAACAAAATTGCATCTAGCTTTCTCTCTGAATATTTATTTAGTATTCTCTTCTGATTCAAGTTCAAATGCTTGAGGAAAAGATCACTAGCACCAAAGAACAAAATTCAGTAAAGTCTTTTGACAGACCCAATCTTTCCCTAAATATTTTCTTCCAATTACTGTCAAATAGCAATGTATCATAAAGATATTAGAGAAACTATAAAAAAAAGAAGGAATTGTCCTCTTTCTGCCTTTTATGTTTATAGCTAATTTTACTTTTTGCAAAACTCAATAATGACCTTATAAAGAGCTGGGCATTTCCATTATCCTGCCCTAACCTGGAAAGACCTCTTTAAGAAGATATCAATAAACTAAAACTATGCTATAATAGACACTTTTACATTTCCTGTCATATTTAATTCTCAGAAAAACCTTGTGACATAGCTATTATTGTCCAAATTTCTAGATCAGAATTTGAGCCCCAGTCAGATAAGTAATCTGCTTGAGCTCCTTCCTAAGAGGCAAACAGTATGATTTCAAGGTCTGTGTTGTTTTTACTACATAATGCCACACTTAAAGTCATTCATCTTATTCTCTATTATCTGTCAAAATTTTATACAAGTTATTTTTTAGCTGGATAATAGAAATCACTTAACTCCATCCCTTATTTTGTACATGAAAGCACCAAGATCTGAGACGTGAAATGCTTTGTCCCAGGATACCCAACTATTTAGTTACAAAGGCTAAGCCCTTTTTACACAACATTAATATGGGGAAGAAAAAAAAAGAAAAGAAAGGAAACCATGGTAATCTCCAGCCAGATCTTTTAAAATATAATACATTAAATGTTATAGTTGTTCTCAAAAATGTTAGGTCCTTAATTTGTTAGGATAACTGACTTTTATAACTTCTTATATTAATTAATGGGATATGTTTTAAAGGCCCACAATGGAGAAAAATTAATAGATAATTAATTATGCTAATATAAATAAATGTAAACTCCTACCGTGTAAAACAGTGTAAGCAGAGTCAACAAAAGTGAAACCATGGGAGATGGTCATATCTGAATCTAAATGCAATTAAAATAAGCTGACTGGTAGCAACAAAACCTGGCTCAAGATATTTGGAGAAAAACAGAAAATCATATTAAGATTAGAATTCTTCAAATTGGCACTAAGTAGGTCGATATACTCACATTCTTCCTTGTCAATTAATGCCTAATACCACCATTAGTCTCTTTTCTTCTTCTTTTTTTTTTTTTTAACTAGGACACATAAAAATTTGTTTATCTGCAAGAATTTTACAAAAATATATTTAACAAATACAGAATGCCAATGAGTTTATATTTAAGAAACTTTCCTTTCTCTTAACAGGCTTGAATCCTATAAATCAGTGGGAGATTAGTAATAGGCAAGAAAAATAATGTGGATGAAATGAACTTACTTAGAAATGTTATGCTGGGATACAATATGGTATTTTCCAAAGGGATTTCTTCTCCCTTCCAGAATAGTCTAGTCTGCATGAAATGATCACCTTCTGCACTGTTAAACCCTAAAACCCATCTCTGCATGAGATTGTACAGTGTGAGGAAAAAAAAAAAAAAAAGCCATCACTCTTTTAACATTAATGTGCAAAAATTAAAATAAAAAGTTTTGTGGAAAAGGCTGACAGGAATGAGGATTTTCTCACATAGAGAAAACTATGTGGGACTAGACCAGACTAATAAAGTACCTTTGAATGCAGATTTGGGTCAACTTGTTATATAAACGGTTTAATGTATGTTAATGAATTATAAATTAAAACTTAACTATCTGAAAGAATTTTTTTTTTATCCTCACCGAGGACATTTTTCCATTTTTTGTTCAGACAGAGTGGGAGGGAGAGAGAGGAAGAGAGGGAGAGAGAGAGAGAGAGAAAAATGTAGATGTGAAAGGCTCAACATATCGAGCCCGTAGCAAGAACCAAACCCGGGTCTCTCTGGACTGCAGGCCAACGCTCTAACCGCTGAGCCAAACTGGCCAGGGCTGAAAGAATTTTCATAAAAGAGCTTCAGAAATCACTGGAAACTACTAGTAAACCAAAGTTCCCCCAAAAGAATGTTGGAGGTGAAAGGCTCTCTCAGAAAGCAGGTTAAGTTCGCCCTCTGTCAACCCACACAATCAACTGGTGGACACGTCCTGGTCAGGAAATATTTATCCTTTTATGCAGGTCACTACTGTTAACTTTTGAGATCACTAACAATATGATGCCAAGTACAAATTTCAAGCACTAAACTCAATATCACATCAGCAATTAAACAATAGGAGAGAGAGAATCAGGTTAAAGAATACTTTAAAATTTGTACTTCTTTCCTTTTCTGAGTAAATTATGTTTCCTAAGACTAGCTCACATCCTAGCACTGACAGAAACTGATGATATTTTTACCCTAGATTGTGGTCAACCAACAAGGCAACTTGAGGATAGGTGACTGACTGGGGACTCAAGTTCCCCTAGACACTGCTTGGCTGCCCCAAGGGTTTAAGAGGTCAACCAATATCTCAGCTGATCTGTTACCTACTTACACTTCAGTTAAGTGTAAAATCCAGTCCAGACTCCATTCTCCCACCTGAAATTCTCTGATTCTGCAGTCCCCTGAAATTCTCTGATTCTGCCATCCTATAAGCACCTCAACATTTAGCCCCACAAGAAAAGAACAAGAACAATTCTCAGTCCAATCTTCTATCAAGGTCATTCCCTCACTCCTCACACCTGGGAAACTGAAATAAATGACTTACCCTCAGAACAGTTTCATAGCCATCAAAACAAAATGTTTAAGAGCAAGATAACACTATATAGATCGTAAGAATAGGGTTTACTGAACTAGCCATGAACCTCACTGAAGACAGATGGCAAAGTACTCACTGTGAAAGCTTGTTGGCTACTTTATTAAATTGTACATAATTTTCAGCCCTTCTAGAACAATTACAAAAAGTGACTCATTGCTTATTAATTTCAAGGGTCTGATGAGACAAAGCATAAAAGTACATAAAAATAATACCTGGCACATAGTAAGTGGTCAATAAATGTTATCTATTATCATCTTCTTCATTGCCTGAATGTAATAGTATCAGATACAGTGGTTACTATTTGTACACTGCAGCTATGGAGACACTCAGCTTTGATAAGCTCCACCTATCCAGCCTGACTAGAATTCAGGAAGAGAAGGTGGCAGCACTTACAGAAGGACAAAGAGGCTATCAACCACCTACAAATTTTATATAATACTATCAAGGACTTAGATGTCCCCTCAGCCTCCAAATGGGTCCTGACCCATATTCATTGATAAAGGCAATTTATAGGTTTACTTTTTTTTTTTTAAATCAATATGAGGCTTTTATTGCATCTTTACAATATTGCAAATAAGTGTGAAAATCACTCGGCATCTTGGTGTTTGTATAGCTGGACAACTTAGATTTTATTCATTAGCCTGCTGAACTGTTCCTTTTTCAGAAACATAGATACCATCCAAAAATTTTCTGATATCCTTGTTTTTAACTTTCGTGGCTTGCTGAATCAAAGCAGCTGAATTTGATACAAGTTCAATGTCATTTCCTTCAAGAATCCACTCATCTTTCTCTGCTTGAGATACTGAACAAGCAACACCTGACCTCATCCAAACTCTGCGGATGTATTCTTCACCCAAGAAATTTCTGATTTCAACAAGAGAAACCATTCTCCTGAATATCGATGTTGATGGGGAAGTGAGCATACACAGACCTCATCTTGTAACGGAAGCCCAGTGTAACTCCCTTGATCGTGTTCTGCACATGACTGCAGAGAGTGCGAACGGTGGCCAGTCCCTTTCTATTTCCCCACCATCTGTCAACCCAGAGCCTCTTCTTTTTTTTCCCAAGGAGACTGAGTTCCACATCGATGTGGTTGAAATCCCTCCACAGTGTGCCTCTGGGGCCCTTCATAATAACTGTGCGTCCCTTCAGAGTGATGTCGACATGTTTGGGATGTCGACGGTCTGATTGCTGAGAGTGGTCTTCATCCTCGCAATAGGTGCGGCAAAGAGTATAGGTTTACTTCTTAACATAAACAAAATGTTATGAGAAATATGCATCTTTTTTAGGAATTACTATGAATTAGGCCCATTTTTAATTGTATTTTTAGACTTTTCTGTATCTTAACCTATATAATGTCTCCCCATCCCCACAGATGACCACTCATAAGAAACAGGCAGCCAAAATATATAGGATTAGGTAGTACTTTATTCATAAAGGGCAAGTGCATAATCAAAGTGAAGGATAAACACACTTTATGGGACACCAGTCTTATTATTGAATAGTCGTTATCATGCCAACCTAAAATACTGGAGAAGGTGACTCTTATGTAACTTTGTATAAATGAATATACAATATCCATTCTCAAAGCCAAGAAATCTATCAATTCTTTCACTTACCTATATAGAGCAAAAAGGCTTCTTAAATTGAAATCATACCACTATAGGTACATGCTTACAATTTTCATATTTTCTTGTACTTTAGCATCAAAATAATCAGTTGAAAAGTAGAGAAAATAACCAAATTAAAATGGGGATGAAAATCTGAGCATCATTTACATGAGGCAGAAGAACTTTCGGTTTCTCATTTTTTTTTTTTTAACTAGCAATATATTTTTATTAGACTCTTATTATTTATTCTCTTATTATAGCATTAACAATTAAATAATACCATCTTCCTTGTCTCTTACCAAAAAGGGTGATTACGGTATGCCTGCCTCAAAGGATTCAATATTTGTAGAGTTTTAGGCCCTAAAGATGAAAGCTATATACTAAATATTATAATTGAGAATAATGATACAAATGAAAGGTAGTTTAGGATAACAGAAAATTACATTTATAATTGGCACACTGCCACACTACCCCTGTGGATTGGTTCTTTCAGAGCACATACTCTACAAAAGTTCACTATGAGTGAAAAACACATCCCACAGGGAGTTCAAGTAGCCTACAATCCAATACTAGTAATTAAGGATGTGGTATTCTCCCTCTATATTCATTTGAGAATCATTTCTACTAATTAAGAGAAAAAGAACAATGATTTGTTTAAAATGATAGCTAAGACCATTCAATCTCAACTCTAATAACCTGGTTACAAAATAGAATACTATAACACTAAACAAAATTTTTTATAAAGAGCAAACTATTTTACAAGCCACCAAGTCAGTATTCAACTACTTTCCAAGATAATATAGTCCTAAAAAGACCTTCTTGAGCAATGTTCCTAATACAATGTTAAATTAAAGCATTACAAATTCAAATTCAATAAACATTAAATACCTACTATGTGAGAGTCATTATAATAAGCATTTTAAGGACTTTATATCATTTAATTATATCTATAACCCTAGGAAGTGGATATCACTAGCCATTTTATCAAATAGGAAATTTTCCACAGAAAGATTCAGATTCTTGACCACAGTCTAAGAATTTAAAATCAGTATTCTTACTTTAACCCCAATGTTCGCTCCATAGTGTCAAATTAAGGTCTCACTGACTATGTTAATAATCAACTAACAAATCCTTTAACCTCACTGGGCCTGAATTTTCTCTTCACTAAACTTAGAGGGTTGAAACAGAGGGGTGCATATATTCTTTCAAATTAGTGTTGCGGGTTCATATAGTCCCAGAAGTAGAATCGCTGGGTCATCAGGCAGTTCTGTTTTTAATCTTATGAGGTAACTCCATACCGTTTTCCACAGTGGCTGCACCCAACCTGCATTCCCACCAATAGTGCACAAGGGTTCCTTTTTCTCCACAACCAGGCCAACACTTGTTTGTTTCTTGATTTGATGATTGCCATTCTGACAGGTGTGAGGTGATATCTCATTGTGATTTTAATTCGCATTTCTGATGATTTGTGACATTAAGCATCTTTTCTCATATGTCTATTGGACACTGGCATATCCTCTTGGAGAAATGTTTGTTCATGTCCTTTACCCATTTTTTAATCGAATTGTTTGTCTTTTTGGTGTTTAGTTGTATACTTTTTTAAATAAATTTTGGACATTAACCTGTTATTGATGTATCATTGGTGAGTATGTTCTCTCATTCAATGGATTGTCTTTTCATTTTGTTGATGGTTTCCTTTGCTGTGCAAAAACATTTTAGTTTGATTTTAGTCCCATTTGTTTATTTTTTTTCTTTTGTTACCCTTGCCCAAGGAGACATATCAGATATAACACTGCTATGAGAAATGTCCAAGATTTTACTGCCTATGTTTTCTTCTAGAATTTTTTGGCATCAAGTCTACCATTTAAGTCTTTTTTTTTTTCAATTTTTTTTTCTTTATTGATTTTAGAGAGACAGGAAGGGAGAGAGAGGTAGAGATAGAAACATCGATGAGAGAGAACATCGACTGGCCACCTCCTGCATGTGCCCTGACCAGTAATCAAACCGATGACCTCTTGGTGCAAGGGTCGATGCTCAAGCACTGAGCCACACCAGCAAGGCTACCATTTAAGTCATTAATCCATTTTGAGTTTATTCTTCTGTATGGTCCAGGAAGGTGGTCTGGTTTC